CCTTCCTCTCCACCCTCCCTCCCATCAGTTCGAGTACTACACCTTTGTGGACAAGGCTGCCATGTCTCGTGTGGGCACGCTATCCCTCTCTCCACCTCTCCCTCACCCTCCTTCCTCACCCTCCTTCCTCACCCTCCCTCCTCACCCTCCCTCCCTCACCCTCGCTCCTCACCCTCCCTCCCTCACCCTCGCTCCTCACCCTCCCTCCCTCACCTCCTCCCATCAGTTTGAGTACTACACCTTCGTTGACAAGGCAGCCATGTATCGTGTCGGCACGCTCTTTTACGCTCTCTACTTTGTTGTCAGCTTCCCCTTCTTCTTCCGGTGCGTGAGCGCGTGAGTGCGTGCATGTTTGTGTGTGTGTGTGTGTGTGTGTGTGTGTGTGTGTGTGTGTGTGTGTGTGTGTGCGTGTGTGTGTGTGTGTGTGTGTGTGTGTGCGTGTGTGTGTGTGCGTGCCATATGCTGCAATATGCCCACTTTAACGCTGCTCTTTTACGCTCTCTACTTTGTTGTCAGCTTCCCCTTCTTCTTCCGGTGCGTGCTGCATGTGTGAGTGTGGGCATGTGAGTGTGTGTGTGTGTGTGGGCTTGCGAGCTCTCCATATCTGTGCTGCAATATGTCCTCTTTATAGCCGCTCTTCTACGCACTCTACTTTGTTGTCAGCTTCCCCTTCTTCTTCCGGTGCGTGCTGCATGTGTGAGTGTGGGCATGTGAGTGTGTGTGTGTGTGTGGGCTTGCGAGCTCTCCATATCTGTGGGTGCGTGCATATCTGCATGTGTACATAAGTGGGTGCATGTGCGTGCGTGCATATGTGCATGTGTGCATAAGTGGGTGCATGTGCGTGCGTGCATATGTGCATGTGTGCATAAGTGGGTGCATGTGTGTGCGTGCATATGTGCATGTGTGCATAAGTGGGTGCATGTGCATGCGTGCAATTGTGCATGTGTGCATAAGTGGGTGTATGCGGGTGCGTGCAATTGTGCATGTGTGCATAAGTGGGTGTATGCGGGTGTGTGCATATGTGCATGTGTGCATAAGTGGGTGCATGTGCATGCGTGCAATTGTGCATGTGTGCATAAGTGGGTGTATGCGGGTGCGTGCAATTGTGCATGTGTGCATAAGTGGGTGTATGCGGGTGCGTGCAATTGTGCATGTGTGCATAAGTGGGTGTATGCGGGTGCGTGCATATGTGCATATGTGCATAAGTGGGTGTATGCGGGTGCGTGCATATGTGCATATGTGCATAAGTGGGTGTATGCGGGTGCGTGCATATGTGCATATGTGCATGTGTGCTTGCCGGCACGCTCAATGAAAATCCACTCTCCACTCCCAGTTTTCTATTCCTCTCCCATTCCTCTCCCGTTTTAGGATTGCCAATAGCAAAGTGGCAATGAGTCGCTTAACAGACTACTCAACAGGAATCAAGTGGCACTGCATTCTTCAGTTCCCGTAACCCCTCTGCTCTCCCCTACCTTCTTGTTCTCCTCTCCTCTTCCCCTCCCACCCCTTCGAGTCGACTCAAAAGTCATCCCGTAACCCCTCTACTCTCCCCTACCTTCTTGTTCTCCTCTCCTCTTCCCCTCCCACCCCTCCCCTCCTCTCCCCTCGTTCCCAAAAATCCCTTCCAGAATCGACGAGGACCCATCAGACAGCTGGCCTCTCTCTCGGGTACCAGTGGACCCCCTCAAAGCATCCATGCTGGTTACCCCATCCAACTCCATTAGCTCCCCTCTCCCTTCCTACCCCTCCTCACCCCCCTCCCCGTCAGAATCGACGAGGACCCATCAGACAGCAGGCCTCTCTCCCGAGTCTCGTTTTGAGGCGCCTCAAAACCAGTCTACGTTGATTGAACGTTTGAGAATTCTCAAAAGTTTTGAGGCGCCTCAAAACTAGTCTCCCGAGTGACAGTAGACTCCCTTGGAGCATTCATGCTGGTTACCACTTCCAGCTCCATCAACCCCCCTCTCCCCTCCTCTCCTCCTCATTCCTCCCTCCCAGGATCGACGAGGACCCATCAGACAGCTGACCTCTCTTCCGAGTGATGGGTCAGCTGTCGGAGGACCCATCTTCCGAGTGGCAGTGGACTCCCGTGGAGCATCCACACTGCTCATCCCTTCCAAACCTGCTACCTCTCCTCTCCCCTGCTATCCTCACCTCACCCCTCCGCTTACTTTCCATCCCCGTCAGAATCGACGAGGACCCATCAGACAGCTGGCCTCTCTCCCGGGTAGCAGTGGACTCTCTGGAAGCATCCATGCTGGTTACCACTTCCAACCCCATCAACTCCCTTCCTTCTCCCATCCTCCCCTCCCAATAATTCCCCGTCAGAATCGACGAGGACACATCAGACAGCTGGCCTCTCTCCCGGGTAGCAGTGGACTCTCTGGGAGCGTCCATGCTGGTTACCATACTCCTCGACATCTGGCGTCTTGTGATTGGCCCAATCACCCAGCTGCCGCAGACCAACACGTGTGCAAGCGGCCTCCCCTGGATGGGGTAGTGTATTTATACTACGGTAATACCGTAAATGCGCACACTGAAGGAAAACCTGTCAAATATGGAGCCCTTGGGTTGGGTGCCTCACTAGAACCACTGCCCTGGTGAACATTGCTCCGCAAAGCTACGTAATAGGTACCTACCACTGTTGGTCTTCTATATGATTATTTTACCGTTTGTGCTCATTGATCAACGCGACTTCGAGCCTTGGTGGAACATCCCTACAGCTCCCATAGACGCTGTTGCTACAACCAGTGCAAACAAATGCTGCGGCGGCTGCTTTTTCTTTAGGCACCTCAAAAAAGGCCACTTGCTACAACCAAAACAGACAAATTTTGCCACCCGTATGGTAGCACAGGGTAACATAACTTCCCTACGGCACGGCTCCCATAGAGGCTGTTTGCTGCGACCAATGCAAAAAAATGCTGCTGCGGCTGCTTCTTCTTCAGGCACCTCAAAAGAGGCCACTTGCTTCAACCAGAACATACAATTTTTGCCGCCCGTAGCTGCGAATCACACAGGTGCATGGAGCAATGGCGTCCATACAGTCAGATCGGATCAATTTGGGTTCAAGTCAATCTACCATGCCAGCCGAACTATGAACGAGCTTTGTACCAGTAACCGGATCAACCTAGTGGGCGCTCCTCCTAGTGGGCGCTCCTCCTAGTGGGCGCTTCTCCTCCCACGTGACAGCTTTCTTCAAAGCCTAATTAAGCCTATGTAACCCTACGTAAGCTCTTTTTCACTGTTGACTGAAGACTGCCGGCTTTAAAGCCGAAGGCCTTCACTCTTGGCTTTGTGGGATGCAGCTGCCCGCCAGCACCCCCTGACAGCTACCGTACAATTCCAGACTAGAGGACTCTTCACACTCTTACCGTACTCTTATCCCCATCGCTCGCACATCGCTCTCATCTCGTCCCTGTGTTGCCGAATGTCCGACTCAAAGCCCCTCTCCCCCCCCGCAGTACCGCTCTGCGGCCACGAATTGATCCGTCTCCCCAATCGCAGAAAACCATCAGGCCTCTTTCTCGTACCCCCACCGCACAACGCTGTCTGCTGCCTGCCCGTACTCATCCCTGTGCTGCAGAATGTCCGACTCAAAGCCCCTCTTCCCCCCGCAGTACCGCTCTGCTGCCACGAATACATCCGCCTTGGCAGTCACCAGCTTGTCTAGGATCGACACGATGCCTGGGCGGGAGAGACGGGGAGGAGGAACGGCAGAGGAAAAAGACAGGGGGGAAAAGGGGGTGAGTGAGGTGCCTAGGTTGCTTAGGGTGGTAAGAGCCCGCACTATCGCCCTGCTGCCACGAGTATGTCTGCCTTGGCAGTCACCAGCTTGTCTAGGATCGACACGATGCCTTGGCGGGAGAGAAAGGGGAAAGGACAGGGGTGAAGAGGGATTGTGTGAGGAGGCTTAAGTGCTGTGAGCCGGCAGTTCCGCCCTGCGAACGGGAGATCTGCCGCTATGAACACTGTTGGCCGCCCACACTCACCCACTCCCAACCACTCCCAACCGCACCCAACCGCACCCAAACCACACCCAACCACACCCAACCGGACCCACCTCGATCATATCCGTTGATGGCGGGCACGACCTCATCGACCATCACCGTCCCGTCCACGTGCTGCCTCAACCATCTCAACGCTCCTCTGGACGCCCGCCCCGTCTTCTCCCGGCCCAACCACTCCCAACCGCACCCAACCGCACCCACCTGGGTCATATCCGTTGATGGCGGGCACGACCTCGTCAATCATGACCGTCCCCTCCACGTGCTGTCGCAACCATTTCAGCGCTCCTCTCGACGCCCGCCCCGTGTTCTCCCGGCCCAGCCACACCTCCATGCTCCTCCACGACTCGGACCGTGCTTGGACTGCAGAAGACTCATTGAATGGGATGTCTGCCGCTATGAAGACCGTCGGCCCTTCCACCACTTGCCCTAACCCATTGATCAACCGCTCCTTCTCCTCCTTCTCCTCCTGCTCCCTCTGCTTCTGCTGCTCCTGCTGCTCCTGCTTCTGCCCCTGCTTCCCCTGATTTTCCTGCTGAGTCTGCTCCTGCCAGTGCTGGGTTTGCAGCTCTTTCCTGACTTGGTTGATCTTGCTCGCTGCCCCCTGCACACACACTGCCATCTGCTGCCGCAGGTTATGCTGCACCTCCTCCCAGGTCAAGTTGGCGTGTAAGCCTTGTGCCTGGGAAAGGGGAAGCAGAGAGAGGATGGGAATCAGGAGGAGGGAACAAGAGAGAGGAGGGAAATCAGAGAGAAGAGAAAAACCAGCAAAGAAAAATAGGACTAGAGGCGGCGTCTATGGCTGCTTCAGTGGCTGAACTCTCAAACCAATGGCCGCCTTCCCAGTTCAGACAGCATGTCTCCTGAGGTGCATACCACCACATTCCAGGTGCCTTTTGAGTCGACTCAAATTCCAGGTGACTTTTGAGTCGACTCAAAAGTCTCCTGAGGTGCATACAACCACATTTCAGTGAAGGCGTCCCATCCCATGGGTGCATTATACGCACCACGTACTAGGAGATACATGTGAAAAGTGAGTTTTTGAGACGTCTCAAAAACATTTCAGTGAAGGCGTCCCATCCCATGGGTGCATTATATGCACCACGTACTAGGAGATACATGTGAAAAGTGAGTTTTTGAGACGTCTCAAAAACATTTCAGTGAAGGCGTCCCATCCCATGGGTGCATTATACGCACCACGTACTAGGAGATGAACTCGGAGCACAAGTGCACGCCTAGGACTGGCTTGGGCAGTCGAGAAGCCTCGCTCACACACACACACACGGGGCACGTACCTTGTTCCCCATTGTTCCACACACGATATCCTGTAGAGTACACACCACGATCCACGATATCTTGTTCCACCACTCCTCGTTGTTCCACCACGAGCCAATGACTGGCTTGGGCAGCTTCGTGATGATCTGAGCAGCCGTGTCGTGCCATTTGGCCCGGTAGGGCAGCACCTCCATGGGATAAGCTCAGACGGGCACTTTCCACGTTCCGTCGTCACTCATGGTTTTGGAAGAGCAGCAGTGCTAGAGAAAGGGTTTAGCAGGTAAGAAAAAGAGAAAAACCCTGGATCAAGGGGGGAGCTGGAGCAAGGAATTTGGCCCGGTAGGGCAGCACCTCAACGGGATAAGCTCAGACGGGCACTTACCACGTTCCAGGAGATGAACTCGGAGCGAGGTGACTTTTGAGTCGACTCAAAAGTCACCTCGAACTCGGAGCGGAAGTGCACTCCAATGACTGGCTTGGGCAGTCAAGAAGAGTAGCTCACACACACACATGGGGCACGTACCTTGTTCCCCATTGCTTGTTCCCCATTGCTTGTTCCCCATTGCTTGTTCCCCATTGTTCCACACACGGTATACTATGAGCACATACCACGTTCCAGGAGATGAACTCAGAGCGGAAATGGACTCCAATGACTGGCTTGGGCAGCTTTGCAATGATCTGAGCAGCCGTGTCGTGCCATTTGGCCCGGTATGGCAGCACTGCGCGCGCAACCACGTCTGTCTTGGGCACGTAGTCGATGCGCTGGAAGGTCGTCTTCATCCACACCACCACGTCTCGGTCACTCCTGCATGCGGACATGTGCGGGCAGGCACGCATGCACACGGTTAGCAACCACGTCTGTCTTGGGCACGTAGTCGATGCGCTGGAACGTCGTCTACATCCACATCCACACCACCACGTTTCTGTCGCTCCTGCTTGCATGGCACACAGCAGTGCGGGCACAAACACACACGAACGTGGGAAATCACACAAGGGTCACAACCACGTCTGTCTTCGGCCGCCACGTAGTCGATGCGCTGGGAAGTGCAGGGCACAAGGTTGTTTTCATCCACACCATCATGTCCCGGTCACTCCTGCACGCAGAGATGTGCAGTCAGGGGCAGGCACACACGCACACATAGGAGCACACACACAGGGATTGCAACCACGTCTGTCCTGGGCACGTCGTTTTCATCCACACCACCACGTCCCGGTCGCTCCTGCATGCAGACATGCGCGGGTAGGCACGCATGCACACGTGAATACACACGGTGGTTAACAACCACGTCTGTCCTTGGGCACGTATTCGATGCGCTGGAATGTTGTCTTCATCCACACCACCACGTCCCGGTCGCTCCTGCATGCATGGCACACAGATTGACCATGCATGGAGGAGCATATTAAAGACGTCCTTAGACTGACCATGCATGGAGGAGCATATTAAAGACGTTATTAGACTGACCGTGCGTGGAGGAGCATATTAAAGACGTCCTTAGACTGACCATGCATGAAGGAGCATATAACGACGTCCTTAGACTGACCATGCGTGAAGGAGCATATTAAAGACGTCCTTAGACTGCGGCATCTTGACGTCGATGGTGTTGCTGGGCACGGGCACATGCCCCATGGCGAACGTCAGCACTTGCCCCAGGATCTCCTCTAGCTCTCCTGCAAATCAAACCATGCACCATGCACCGTGTAAAATCACACAAAGAAACATGGAATTGCATGGAATGTTCCCAATCAATCAATGCACGGGCACATGCCCCATGGCGAACGTCAGCACTTGCCCCAGGATCTCCTCTAGCTCTCCTGCACCATGCAGCATCACACAAGGAGAAACAAGTAATCAAATACGTGGCACCGTCACGGGCATGATCCCCATGGCGATTGTCAGCACCTGCCCCAAGACCTTCACTAGCTCTCCTGCGCGATGGATGATGCATGGGGTTGAGGAAGGCGGCACAGGCAGTGAGGAGGAAGAACACCGGCGACACCCACTCCATCTGGGAGAAACAAGAGAGGTCCCCACACCATTTATGAGGCACCTCAAAACGACTTTTGAGGCGCCTCAAAAGATGATGCATGGGGTTGAGGAAGGCGGCACAGGCAGTGAGGAGGAAGAACACTGGCGACACCCACTCCATCCGGGAGAAACAAGAGAGGTCCCCACACCATTTATGAGGCGCCTCAAAACGACTTTTGAGGCGCCTCAAAAGAT